AATTTTAAGAACCTCATGAAGCAATTGAAAATTTTGTGAACGAATAGGAGAAATATAAGTGAGGCTAAAATTCAAAATACCACTGTTATTCGAAACTAAAATAAGTGTATGATGTGTTTGGCGTGTTTGGCATGTAGATTTTTAGATCTTCTAATTTTTAGCTTTTAAAAAAAAATTCGAAAAAAAAAATCCATTCAGCGTTAGGAGCTTCTTGTTTTTGGGTAATACAAAAAATTTCAAACCAAAAGCTATTTTAAATAGTGTTTAACAAAAAACTATATATAACTTTGCAAATTGAATTCATTACCCATTTTTTAAAGCAATGGAGAAAAGTCAATTCATGTAATTTTACATGTTTTAAAAGATTAAAACTATTTTTATCGAAATTTTATATACAAATAAATTCAAGCTACAACTTTCAGATTCCAATTAGTTTTGTCACACACATTCTTACAGTTGTCTAATATTAATAAGTTGGTTTCTTTTGGAATAGAAATATATTGAAGACATAAAACAAAATATTAAAGTGGGGTGGAATATTGAACGTGTTGAAAACTCCAAATTCATCCATTGGATTTTAGTTGAGTTTTAAAGTGTAATGAACGATCTATGATGAAATGAAAACTGCCAACATATGATCAAATGCTTGTAATTCTTTGTCCTTTCATTGTTATCATAAATCAGAGCTGTCAGCATATAATAAAATGCTTACTGACGCAAAAGAATAATAATGTAATAGGGTGTGACTGTTTAGTGATACCGGATAGATTAGAATCGAATAAATACTACATATTTTTATTAGAGAGACGTTTTTAATCAAATTAACAAATATATGATGAGAATGTCCTAAATAATATTCTTTTTAATACAATTCTTAAGAATACAAAACCAAAAGGAAGGAAATGAAAATGGGGAAAAAAAATTAAGGATTAACGAACTAGTTATTTATTGTTTATTAGTGTCAGCATATTTGGGTCTATATTTAACCCATTAGCTAGGTTAACCCTAGATAACTTTACTATTTATGTTCTTAAAGATATAGCTTTTGTTTGGTATTTTTTCGGCTTTAGAGTTACAGATTGATGTCATTTTGCATAATGATTGTTTTTGGTTGCTACATATTGTTTCGCATGGTTACTTGAACGTAAATTGTTTGGTTGTAAATTGTTTGGTTGCTTGTGGATATGAGTGTTTGCTAAGGCACACACAATTTTTAGTTTTGATTTCCTCTAAGGCAAACTCTTAATGTTTGTTTCCACCGCATTACGAGTTTACAGGGATGTTAGCATAATAATTTATTAGGATCTTTTTGTTTAAACTTCAATTTTAGCTTATTAGCTGAAACAAGTATATTAGGAAGTAAGATCCTATCTTATTAGTTTAAATGTATAGTTTAAATATAGTTTTATCTTGTATTTATTTATAAGCCATGTACTAAAATATATATACTATATATAAGTACATATATATGAGTACATGGCTTATAGATAAGTTTAACATAAGATACAAATAAGACTTGATATTTAACCTATACATTTAACAAATTAGATAAGATCTTATTTGCTAATATTAACCATATATGGTTTTAATATTTATAGTTTTATTTACATATATTTATAAATACAACTTTCACATCTAATATTGAAATACTTACAACTTTCACTCTTAATATTGAAATACTTATCAGTTCACAACTTCACATGGTAAATTAACAATTCGTAGTGTAGCTTTTTGCATTAGTAAACATGCCACGTTGTTAACATGATGGTATTTTATTTTGAATTATTGGAAAATGATTGAATAAAATTCTATTTGGAATATATTCGCTATCTTTAAGTATCATTAATGCATGTTTTTTTGGTCCTTAAAGCATAAATTATTGCGTCATTACATGTAAAAGAAAGGACAGAATCATTTGGTTTGCTTTCTGGCCTTTTTCATCTTACTAGACGACAAATAAATCAATATGTGAAATGCATATATACTTATGGTTATGGCGTCGACATACCTCCAAAGCATACATCTAATATAACACAAAAATGTATACTTACTCAAAATGCTTGAATAACATTCTGTTGGGAATATATATTCGCTCCCTTAAGTATCAATGCATGATTTTTTGTCCTTAAAGCATACATTATTGCGTTATTAGATGTAAAAGAAAGGACAGAATCGTTTGATTCGTTTTTTGGCCTCTATTTCATCTTATTAGACGACAAATAAATTGGTAAGGGAAATGCATGTATACTTATAGTTATGATATCGCCATACCCTCCAAATCTTCAAAGGACAGTGCTATCACGTCAAGACCATAAGTGGAGGGTGCCTTATGACACTTGAGTCGAGCAGCACTCAAAAAAGCTGCATCCAAGTGAGTTTTCCTATAGTTTTAGAAACTCGTGATATTAGAGTTTTAAACCAAAGATACGTTCATGTCCCGAGTGAACACACCAACAACGAAAACAAAAACATAAATAGAACTAGAAAAACTAGTCAACCAAGAATGTAAGCAAAATATATTCTCAATAACAATCAACCAAGAGGCAAGAGCTACCACAATGAACAGGAATATGTATCTTTTCTTCTTGAGTTTAGGCATGGGGCTAGGGTGTAATCTAGTAGAGCCAACTAATGAGATGTTGGAGACCAATTCGGAAAATACTGGAAATCAACTCGGCTCGAGGTGAGCTCGAGCTACTATAGTATATTATCAAGTCAACCCCAAGTATTAAAATACTCGATTTGTGAGGCTTGCGAGCTTAACCGAGCTTAGAAAAATTTACAATTTTACCCTTGATTTTATTCAAATTTACATAATCTAATCGAGCTGAGTCGAGCTTGGGGGCTTATTCTTATTTCCATTGCGTTTTAATGTGATTTTATTTTCCTAATAACTAATTGATTCAAGTTGAGTTGAGCTCCAATTTGTCGATTATTTTATCGGGCTTGAGCCCACACTTGAAGTTAAAGGTTGATTTTCGAGCACAAGTTTTTTTAATTGAATCAAGTTTGGAGCTTGACAATACTCTCAATTATACCCTTATGCATGACCATCACCCACAAATATAAAGTCAAAGAAAATATCCACACACTACAAAAAATATGCCACTTAGTGACCAAAGCGAAATGGTCACTAACAATAGAATGAGTCGTCACTAAATGATTTAGTGACCAAAATTTCGATCGTCACTATAGGTCCGTCACAAAACTGATTTAGTGACCAGATATAAATATGGTCACTAATCAATGACTAAAATATAGTCGTCACTAAATATGTGACGACCCGCTTCGTCACTAAATGTTGTCACTAATCAATAAAAGTCATCACTATTTTATCTACTGAGTGACCAATAAAATTCGTCACTATTTTATCTACTTAGTGACGAATAAAAGTCGTCACTGTTTTATCCGATTAGTGACCATAGAAAGTGGTCACTGGTTTATCCAGTTAGTGACTATAACAGATGTCACTGACTTAGCCTTTTAGACAAAAAAAATGGTCAATAATTAAGAAATTATTGAAATATTAAATGTCATTTTTAAAATGAAATATAATAATATACAATTAGACAAAAGACATGGCAAATGCTATAAATGTTTATAATACGACAACAATAACCAGATAAATCTTCATATAAGAACGGATGATTTGCCACCTAAATTATACATGGAATTATAAAGTTGCTAACACCACAAAAGCAAAATAGAAGTAATCAAATGAAAAGTTCCATTTGTTGGGCATCCTTATGGAAGACTTTTCAGATTCCTGCAAAATACAATGATAAAATGGTCATTTACCAAATAGAATGGTCAAATGGTCATTCATTAAATAGAAGGGTAAAAAGGTCATGTACTCAAAGGAGAGTAGGATATTGTTTCTTTTGTTGGTAAGCATTGTTTCTAAATAGAAGGGTTAAACGGTCATTTAGTCTAACAAAAGTAAGATATTGTATCCTTGTTAGCAAGCATTGTTTTTAAATAGAAGGGTAAAATGATCATTGACCAAAGAGAAGGGTAAAATGATCAAAGAGAATGTATTATTTTTGTACCTTTAAGGCATGCAATGAGGTTTATTTGGAGAGCCTTTCGAAAGTGATGCTCTGAGAATTTGTGCAAGGCCATACCATGTGTTATAATGTCTTCCGACTTGAAGGGCGTTTTGGTAACTTTTTATTCCATTCTCAAAGTCCTCCAATGCTACATATCCGTAAAAAAAAAAAGATAGATGCATATAAAAAAAGTGATGTAAGGGTGCATTTGTAAATTGTACATGGGACAGGCTTTTATGAATATTTTTTATAATGATGGTAAGAGCATTTTCGTCTTTTGCACAAACATGACATTGAGTTTAATTTTTTTTCCGTTATGTTGTTGGATGAATGGATAATGTGATCTTTGTCTCGATAATGTGTTGTATACGTAAGGTTTGTTTCTTTTTTAGAATGAATATAAAACGTATGAACGAGACTAAATGACCATTTTAACCTTACTATCCAAAAAAACAAATTTCAAAATAGGAAAAATAAAAAAATAAAAAATCATATTCATGACCACAAAGGGTGTGAGCATATGCAATTCTTGAATTAAGTTGGACTGCATGTTGAAAGTTCTTGAGAGCAGTTTCATGGTCTTTTTGCATACTAAAGCAATTTCCCATTGCACACCAGTCACATTTATATATATATATATATATATATATATAATGTCCTTATAGAAGACATAACTCAACCACTTATATATTTAAAAATGGTTACCGTGATTTAGGGCTAATGGATCCGTTGATATTAGCTCTTGTGCCAAATAACTCAACCTCATATCCTCCTTTAGGTGCTACAACATACGAGACCAAAGATTATGTAAAATTACCATTTTGCCCTCTGGAGGTTTAGTTATAGTGTTATAATACCAATGAGACTTACATATAAAATAGTAAAATAAATATCCATTCCTTCTAAGCTATACGTACAACAAAAACACACCTTCCTTTTAACTATCTCCTGTCAACCTCCTCCTGAACCTCTAGCTGTAGACAAACACCAGATACAACAATGATAAACCCTCTCTCTCTCTCTCTCTCTTAATAAAAATAAAATATGAAATGACGTTCTTACCCTGGAGATGTACTCCCAGGTTCGCTTGAGCATCAGCTTCAGTGTTGAACTCCTTTCATTTCATATAATATACGATAAACTTGTTAGGATTCAATAATAACGTCTGATCTGAAGGAATAATATGTCTGAATGCATACATACCCTTTCAACATGACAGATCTGGAAAGATGCAAACTTATCTTTCAGCTCCTTTGCTACTTTGCATAAGCTTGTCATGTTCTGGGTTTTCGTTTTCCACAAACCATTCACCTGTTTTTTTTTTCATAACACTTACCACATTAACAACATAAACACCACTATAAACCTTAGAAATGTTTCAACACCAAAACTTATGTTTATGTTTATTCACCTCCTATTTTATACTTACTTTCTAATTACTTCCTTATAAGTAGCTTATTAAATTAATATTAATATAAATGAAATGTTTATGCTCAATACTTGAATATTTAAGAATATGTGATTTTCCTTCGAATGTGAAGTCATTATCTTGGTAGGAAGTAGATATTATAGAGTCGATAGTTAGAAAAAAGTAGAATATGAGGTTTCTATTTCAAATACAAACACAATAAAGAGTTACAAAAAGGCCTCCATAAAGTGTCATGTGAAGGAAATGTGGATTTTGATCTTCAAGGCAACATCTTTAATCATTAGCCACAAAAGGAATGTCATGTTCTAAAATATATTACAATTCTATCCATTTCTAATCTACCATATCAATTTGCAGTGGTGTAACTTTTACTGGAAACAAAAATAAAAAAGGAAAAAAATATCTCAGTCCTAAAATAACTGCACGGTACTCAGTAGCATTGTTTGTTGCAACACCTAAACTTCTCGCAAACGATAAACCTAATAAAAGTTTCATACTCAAAAACCCAAATATTAAAAAAATATAATATTATAATTATTATATTATTATAATTATGAGTGTGTGATGTTTTACCAGACTTCCATCTATTGCATGCAGCACAGCTCCAGCGCCCGTTGGTCCAAGGTTTCCTTTTGCTGCACCATCAAACTCAAGAATACAAGAACACTGACCATGGAGAGTAAAATGATTAATTAGTGTCAGCTAACCATGGAAAAACACTTTTTTATTGACTCCTCTTAAAACATAAAATCCAACATAAATATTCAGGAATGCAAACAAATAAACTGTCAAATATGTCCATAAATGCAGATTACAATCTATTACATTAGATTTGTCGTTGCTTCTAATCACAGAAATGTCTCGTTGCTTCTAATCACATAAATGTCGCACTTTTTTTTTCCTGGAACAATGAATAAAATTTAATTAAGGAATGTGAGCCAATAAACTTATATCAGAAGTTGGAACAAACAAAATGATGACCATTTTCACTACTATCTTAGAATATGATATTTTTTAAAACTATTGATTGTACATCTATATTAAGTGGTACAACTTGACTAGATCGCTTGTATGTTGGAACTTGATTGTAGTAGCAAATTTCATCTAAATGGCTGTATGTTTATAGTTAATCAATGTAGATATGTAATGTTTAATGATCCAGTTAATAACTTTATGATTTTAGATGCTAATATGAGTAAGATCAATCGTGAAAACGTGAATTATCTCAAGACCAATCAGATGGAAAAAAGCAACAGGAGTTTAGATGAGTCTTACCACTTAGTTATAAAAGCAGAGTCTTGTTTAATAGGAGTTTAGATCAGTATCCACAATGTCACTTTCAATGCATAAGTTGCTTCCTCAAATGGCTTCTGCATCTATTTCCTTCCAAATGAACCTGCATCAGAGTTATGCAACAATTACCAAAACTCATATATGGCAAAGGGTACAAAACACAAAAAGGAAAGCAAACAAGGGAGTCAAAAACTCAAATTCTGAAATCCCATATATCCTAAACAAATAGTAGCAAATATTCAATATATTGGTAGTTTTTAATCCTAGTTTATTTCACCAATTGAGTCATACATTCACTGAAAATTAAGCTATCTAACCAAATTGGATGACAATTACAGTTATCTTTGTTGCCCTCTATGCTACTTTATTCTGTTTAATCAAGAATAAACAGAATTCTCATTGAGAATTTTCCTGGATTATTAGTTTTTTAGCAGTTAAAAAGCTATATTTATGATTCTAGTTTTTAAACATCTAAGGGCCACTCAATTTCACATAATTATATGATGAAAAAAAAGCCCTAGAAGGAAGAAGGTTAGAACATACCAAGATCTCCTCCACATTTAGCAGAGCTACAATCAGAGTAAAGAGATGTAACATCCTCGAACTTATTGATTGATTGAACTTGCTAAGTTTGGCAGATGTAGTGTAAATATTTACTGGATCCACTCTTTTTGATTTATTGAACTCATCGTTGCAGGATTCTAGAAGAAAATCAGCATAAAGAAACTTCAAAGCAGAGTCAAGCAGATGTCCGCTATGACAGAAGTACAGGAGGATGGTGACTGCGGTATGAGCTAAGCCTGAGGCAGGAAGTTGCTTGCAAAAGGATCTACTACCGCCGTCTGATATATCGGAGGGTTGTGAAGGTGCAACCATTGGATCCTCTGATATATACCAAGCTAATGGCACAGAAGAACAAAGAGACATGTGAAAGACGATAGAGAGGGTATGAGACCGGAGACATAACGAGGTCCATAGGCGGTCGACGGTAGAGGGCAGAGCGCGACGGTGGACCGGATAGAGAGGTGCGTCTTCGTTGATTTAGGGATGATTATGTCAACATTTGTGTTTATTTGATTTCTTTTAATGGTTGTGAAAGGCTTGTGAGTTGGGTCGGATAGTGTATGTTTCAATGGGATCAGTTTCATGGGTCGGGTCTTGCTAATGGATACCTGTGGTGATGTAAGGATGTTTCTTTACAAAGTAGATGAAATATTTTTTAAGCAAATGTGGTGAGATCTATGATGAAAAAAAACTAAATAAAATATTGTGAATTTTTTAAGGTTTTTGGAATGCGACAAGTACCTAAGTGGTGGATTTTGTAAATTTCATTTTATTTTTACCTTTTTTAGCCAATGACCATTATTTTTTATCACTAATGGTTTGCAATTCAGTGACCACAATTTTTTGTCACTAATTGTTTTTTTCTTTGCACTTCAATGTGGTCACAACTTATCTTCATAACACATAGTGTGTTTAGGTGGTTTTGAATAGTTAGTGACCACCATTTTTAGTCACTTAACCTCCAATATAATAACTATTATTTTTTATCACTAATCTTCTAAAACAGTGATCATTATTTTTAGTCACTACTTGTTATGATATTAAAAAACATATATTTTAATTTTATTCACAATTTAGTGACTGATTTAGTGACGAAAACATAGAATTTGTCATTAAATTTGTTGGATTACCGAATTTAGTGACGATTTAATATATGGTGACTAAATGATGTTGTTAGTGACCAAATTTTAGGTCGTCACTAAATTATTGGTCACTAATAAACACTTTTCTTGTAGTGAGAGAAGCAACCCAAATCAACCAAACTCCACTATATTAAATTAAATTATTTAATTCTCTTGTGACTTAGAGCTCTAACATGTCTTAATAGTAAAACGAGTTTTCAGGCTGCAAATGCATTTGTTTGTCAAATGATTGACTTTACTCTCCTTTTTATTAAAAAAATTTAGAACGACAAACACACATGCACATCCTTTACATTACTTATAAACTACTCATTTTGTCTTCAACAAGACTTAAACCTTTAACCTTTGGCTGAAAGATATCTTTCTACCAATACATGATACCAATATGCTACAATTAAACCCTTTGGCTCTTTTCATCAAATGATGCGAAAATATCCCAAACAAGTGTCATATGATAGGAAGCTCACGTATCCAACACCCAACAATGTTGATCATCACTTTACCCATAGTATTCAGAAAATGTGTATTCATCTTTAAAAATAGTAACGCTATAGATGATAATCCCTCCTTTTGTGTATTTTTCTTTAATTTGGGGCAATCCTTCTTTAAGTGTCTAAGATCTCGCAATAATAACATGGGCCGATAGGTTTGGACTTTTTTTAGATCAGGGATTGGAAGACTTTGAACTTCTCCCACTTTGGCCCTTAAAATGATTATCATGTTGATCATGTTGACCCTCTACGACATATAAGTCATTATTGTTTTTCATTAAAAAGTACTAAAACCTTTCATCCGATAATGTAGTTCTTCATTCATTCTAATATGGTAACGGTATATCTACCATACATCAAGGAATATGCAAGACATGTATAATTTTTTTTGGAAGAGAGCACAAATGTACCACAATAACTTGTTCTTCCATCAGTAGATCATCTAAAGACTTCATTTTCCTGATCGGATCGTCAAATACACTAAGATGCATCTTTATAGAGCCTCCATCTTAATGTTAGTTGAAATCTCTTAATTTGTTGTGTCTAGAACCCTTATCAACACATTGGTGCTCTAGGTAGACTAGGTGTCATAATATAGAGACACAATCATCTCTTCTTCATCCTCCATTTTACTCCAAATTGTTTTCCATCTTATTACCGTATGGATATAGTTTTGAACCTTGAACCACAAACATTCCATCTCTATAAACAATCCTTGATTTAAAGACCTTAACATGCTCTTTCAAAGCACCAATATGCAGGCTCATACTCAAGAAAATTTTATGTTTATTTCGATGAAGATACTTAAAAGCACATGTTGATAGGTTTCACATACACTTTAGAGTCATCTTCAACTAGCTTGGCAACATCAACGAGTTTGGGAAGTTTTTAATCTAATTCAATTACTCTATCTGCTAAATGCAAGTTTTCAAGAAATTGAGATTTTGTCTCGATAGATCTACATGGCATATAACCCACCAAAACCTTTAATTTTGCAAACAACATATAATTTGCAAAAGGTTTTGTGAAATCTAAGGTTACCATATATTACAAGAAAAAAAAGGTCATTCTTATACGCAGATTTCACAAAACCCTCAAGACGAGTCGAGTGGGTGTCCAGGCGAAGATCCATGGAATGGCGTGGAGGTAGACGATTATGGCTGAGGTTATCCTGCGAGTTGGGCATATTTTGATGTTGAGGTTACCGAGTTTGGCTTGTGGGTTAGCTTCTTGGAAGTAAGTTAGGGATTCGGGGTTTTCGTATACGGCGGAGGGTAGCTTTTGGAGCTTATTTGTGAGATTTGTTCCATTAGGTTACACCATTTTGGGTCGAGTGGTGGTTTTGGGGAGTAGAGGGTGGCCATGGAAATCACTAATTCAAAATTTATAAAAAAAATGAGTTGTTTTTTTGTAGAAGCTTAACAGCAAGGAAGTCTCTTGCCATTCAACTCAAGAAATCATTATAATAATTGCATAAGATAAAGATGTTAATTAGAAAATAAGATTTTTTTATGAAACATGAATCATACATTTGAGGCCATTAGCCATGGAAATGACTTATGTACCTAATGAATTGCTTCCTAACTCTGCAACGATATGGAGCTGTCCAGGACTTCTTGAATATCACAAGAAACTTGATAAGAATATAATAGAAATGTTATAATTTTTTTTCAAAATACATTTTAATAAAAAGTGATTGAGTATGATAAGTATGTGATGTTGCCTCTATAACATGTGGAATAAGAGGCCACATCCTATTTACTGTATTTTCCCTTGCCAAGATATTCGGTGACTGCATCCAGAGTCTCTGAATGCCTACCTGATTCCTGTCACATCTCAAAAAAATGTCAAAACCATAAGTCGTTATGTATGAATTACGTCAAAAATAGGTTTCTTGGCGTAACCCATTAAGTTATTTGGTCCAGATTAAGTGCTTAACTCATTAAGCTCATTAAGTCAAAAAGAAACATATCTTAAATCCCTTTTTGTACTAGAATTAAATCCCAATTACTACTTAAAATGTTTTAATGACTTTAAAATCACCCACATTTAAATATGTAACAATAGAACAAACCCCAGATAGGTCAAGCTTCATTAGCAGTTTAAAACCATTACAAACACAGAAACTCTTCTTATTCAGAGCATACAATGTTTGTTAGTTTTGGCTTGACTGTATTAAATTTGGAGTATATTTGTGTTTTACCTCGTTCAGGCGATTGTACTCAACCATAGGAACATCTAGGTGGTTGAAATAAGTTTAAAAACTTTTAGCTTACTTCATTTAGTAAGAGACATCAACGTCCTTTTAAGTAAATACCAATAACTATTCACCTTGATAGAAGACAAACATCTTTCATTACCTCAAAGATTAATCAAAGTATTTGAGGGTGTGTTGGGTTTGTGGATTCATGTAAAATTGGAATTCGAGAAATCAATAAAGTGAGCATGTTCTTTTAATCAAAGTATCTGACGTCCACCAAATTTTTTTTTTGCATAATAGAAGCATAGTACTTTTAAATGAACGTGTTGTTGATTGAAGTGGATGATTAAAACCATGATCATAAACTGATTAACATGAAAATTATATCTAAATGTAACCCCCGCAGATTCGGACTAGTCAATTTAGAGACATTAAGCATCGAAAATGAGCTTTAATGGAATATTATTTAGAAGGATTAATCTTTTCCAAGTGGTAGTATATATTACAAGGGTTCCATATATATAAAGAACACTGAAATCCGAGTTATAACGAAGAAGTTATGACCCGTAGAAGTTTTTCGGCAAAACTGACACGGCGTCAGGAGACGTAAATAGTGAATTTACTATGAATGAATTTTTAGCCTTAGAAATATAAAAAAAAAAAAAAGTTGTAGCATACGTTAAACCGAGAACATAAAAAAAAATAACGCTCAAATCTGACTTCGTATGAGGAAGTTATGAATTTTCTAAGATTTGGCATAACAACGTACGGTCCGAAACTTGAATTTTAGATCGAGTGGTTTTTGGCCTACGCTACCTAAATGAGAGTTGAAGATCTCATTAATATGAACTCAACAATAAAAAGACAGACGGAAACGGAGTCTGTATGAAAGAGTTACAAATTTTTCGCGGTCATTTAACAATATAATCTCCTCCTACTGTTAAATTTAAGATTAGTCGAGAATTAGCCGACAGTGTCAAAATGAAAGTTGTAGATATTAATTTTACCTACGCATGGATATAAAGAACGTCAAAAACGGAGCTCGTATTCAAAAGTTACGGATTTTAGAAGTAGGAAGTGTGTTATACGAAAATGGGTGACATGACACAATCTTGGTCATTACTTTCTCCCCAAGTCTTGCCACCAGATGGTGACATGTTGCACCAAGTTCAACCATATTTCACCCTATAAATAGAACCTCTTCACACCTTTCCCATTCTTTCTTCTCTCTACACTCTCTCTAAACCTCCCAAAACTCTCATAACGCTAGAAGAAAGCACCGAAGTGCTCGACGGCTTCGAGAAGAAGAGCTTTCGGCTCGGAAATTCTGCCCCTGCAAAGCCCGACTTCTAGCCAAACCCCCTCGTAGGTAAGATACGCCTACCCTATTTTAAATATAGTTTTTATTTAAATATAGTAATGTTATTAGGGCCTTATAGTAAAGATTTGGGTTATTATTATGAGTTATATAAGTGTTGTTATAATATCTTTTTAACCACTCGCGGTACGGGGAATCTGGTTTGGAGGGAC